CCCCAAAACCCCAAAACCCCAAAACCCCAAAACCCCAAAACCCCAAAACCCCAAAAAGTTTATTCAAGATTGATTAAAACAATTAGTGCTTATATGAATGTTAGTGTTGCTTGTGGAAGCCAGCCACAGTTTTTCTCCTATGTGCCAAATTTTTCATACGCGGTTTGTGCTTAGCATGCCCCTCTTTGCTTCCTATAGGAGTTTAAAGGAAACCTTACTGTTCAACTCACTTTTAGAATAGTTTTTAATCAGACAGTTGAATAAAGCTTTGCTGTTTGATGTTAATTTTTCCTATGTCATAATATAAAATTTCGAATAATAACCAGATTATAGAAATTTTGCAGAAAATGTTCAAACTGCCTAAATCCAAATGAAAATTTACTCCAAAGGGCGTCATCTTCAGCTGCTTTCTTACCTTTCTGAGATCAGAGATATTAGAGAATTCATTCAAGTATAAATTATTCTTGTGAGAATGGATAGTAGCGTTTTCAAATGGCTTCTCTCGCATCCGCATCTCTCCCAATCTAGACAAGATTTTTTTCTTAGAATATTCTGATGGCTTTGTATTACTCTTATACTGAGTAATAGAGGCTTCATTGCAGATTTCTATTATAACAAAATTTAGGTGAGATTTTATGAGAGAAAAAGGAGCTTTATTCAGAATTTTCGAAACTGAATAAACTCCAGAACTTTCTTACGAGAATATGAGGTGCTGACATTTTGACCATTGGATCTTTTTGGAGTCTTATATTTAGACCTAGTTGGCCTAATGGGTTCTAAGTTGTCAATCTTGTTGAACCTCTGTCTCCTTCTGTCTATGAGAGGCATAAATTTCCAGAAAGTTGGAAAAATAGTTAAAACTTTGGGAATAAGGAGTCTCAAAGTGTGGTTTTGAGAAGGAAATTTGGCCTACAAATATCTTTGAGTTCAGATTTAGATGTTGATTTTTCCCTCTCAATAGTTGATTTAGTAGGGTTCATGAACGTGAGCGATGAGAGTGTAGGCACTTTTGGAGGAGCGTAATTGCTGATAGTAGTTGAAGGGATGCTTAGGCAAAGCTCCATTGCAGTTGGCCTTTCTTTGGGAGATTTGGTAAGGCATTTGGAAATCATGTTGATGTAGTCAACTGATAAGCTATCGGGGAGCTTGCCAGGCTCAGTGTTGTTAATATTGTAAGAAAGGTCTGAAAATGTTGTTCCAGAAAATGGAGGTTTAAAGACTGTTAGATAGTACATTCAGCACCCAAAGGCCCAAACGTCAATCTTATAGTCATATAAACCGACATAATTGACTTGTTCTGGACTGCAATACACAGTAGTGCCAAGATCCTCTTTCAGGTACATTTTCGCAGGATTTAGTACTCTTGATGACCCAAAATCGCCTATCTTGATCCTATTCTTCTTGCTGATGAAAATATTAGAAGCCTTAAGATCTCAGTGTATGATGCAATTATCATGCAAATATCTCATGGCTAGGAGTATTTCATAGGCCCATTTCCATAACTGGTTCTGAGAAAAGGGTTCTCTCTTTTCCATTCTCTTCTTCACCAACTGATAAAGGTCACCTCCTGAGGCATATTCCATGAGGATATAGAAGTAAGAAGTGTCAATAAAAGAGTGATAAATATTTATAATATGTTGGTGCTTAATATTCTGCAACAACTTTACCTCATTCAGAGTGTCTATCCGTTGTTTCTTCGAGTTAATATTACAGATAGGAATTTTCTTAAGGACATAAATCTTGGAGTTCTTGGCCTTTACCTTATACGCACTACCGAAACCTCCTTTGCCTATTAATCCTTTGATAGTGTACTCTTCCTCTGTTCAGCCATACTTTTTATCCCTCGCTTCTTTGTCCTTCACTATTTTAGAATGAAGTGTTTGAAAATGTTTGATTGATATATTTTCAAACTCATTTTCTTTACATGTAATAAAGCTCTTTTCTTCTTCCATAATTCAATGAGATGTTTTCAAATATAATAATAGTTTACGGGGTTTTGGGGTTTTGGGGTTTTGGGG